TGACAATCCCACAAAAAGATTCAGCCAAATACTTGGGTATGCACCTTGATTCTCGCCTTAATTGGAAACATCATGTCCGACAGAAAAAATTGCAAATAAAAGAAAAAATGCGCAAGCTATACTGGCTAGTTGGTAGACATTCCACACTAGACCTGGCAAACAAACGGCTTCTGTATGTAGCTATTATCAAACCGATCTGGACTTATGGCATACAACTGTGGGGCTGTGCCAGCAAATTCAACATCGAAATCATTCAACGCTGTCAGAATATTTCTCTTCGTACCATTGTCRCAGCATACCGGTTCGACAGGAATGAAATCAACCATCGAGACTTGAATATACCATCCATCGAGGACGAAATTTAAAAGTTTGTCAACAAACATGTGAAAAAACTTGAATTGCACCCAAATGCAACTRCTAAACAACTTCTTCACAACTCGCAAGACATTAGGCGCCTCAAACGYCTGAAGCCATACGACTTAGTTTAATTAACTTAGGCTAAGAAAAGGGGCTATCTCATTGGAGGTACAACCTCAAACATATTCTTGTATAATATATATATGTATATATAAGTAATTATTATTTATAAAGACTTTTGGTCGTTTAAATAAAGATGCCATAGGCAGTTAAAAAAAAAAAAAGGTTGGTCACAACTAGGTATTGCCAAGAAAAAGTAGAAATGTAATATTTTGCCAAAGGATTGAGAGCAGTTTGCATTTTCCCAGGCATTTGTGATGTTTGCCTGTAACATGAATATGATTTTACTATATGAATGTACAACGGATGACATTGAATTTCTCCTAAATTGTTGTACTTATTTTGGTGAAATTATTTGTGTACGTTTGAGTAGGTTCTTCAGAATGGCTTAGAATTACAATTGGACTAGGTATTCAGGCAGGTGCAACCTTACATAGAAAATTGCTCAAAAAGGAAATTTATGATAAACTTATTTATTTATAAATGGATGCTAATGGTTACTCGGTTAGGTTAGCTTATATAGATGAGATAGATGCATCAAATCATTGCGTTTATTTTTTTTAATAAAGAAATTACAYCTTACTACCAAATGAGTATAACATGTATGTTTGTAGCTTAAGTAAATACTCAAAAACTACTTGTATTTTATTTTTAATAAATACCTTCTGGTGAATACGTTCTTTATAGCTTTCAGATCGGTTTATGGAGATTCCCGTTGGTTTTAATTTAGGACAATGAGACCTAAAATATAAAGTTTTATATAATGTCTAACATTTGGTCATGGAAAATATTAAAACTTACATTTCTTCAATTGTACTTGTATCACCTCTTTCAGATTTGAAACTATCATCAGYTTTAAAATGAAAACTACTGCTACTTAAGCTCGTTCGATCTGCATGCAACAACATTTTAATTAATTTAAWTAAAAACTTAATATTCATATACGAATTGCACTTATTTATTTATAAATTTTTGAACGAATAAATAAAAGTAATTGATGTTATGAGAGCATGTAATTGAATCATTACCGGAATCTTTTTCAGGAAGTGCTCCAACTATATCACCAGAATCTTCAGATTGTCTCTTTGATTTTTCAACTTCAAACAAATTTAAATAAAATGAATTAATTAATATGTTAAATTGACCRAACAAATTTATTACTTTGAACAAAGTTCAAACCAGGTTTTCTTCGAGTTTCGCGTTCAGGTCTTATTTTATCCATGAGTTTACTAATACGATCATTGGCTTTATCTTTTTTCACTATTGGACCAGGACAGTTTTCATCCAAAACTTTTACACAGACACGATGAATATTTAAAATACAATCTAAAAATAAAATAGAATTATTTATTTTAAGGCTTTTTTAAATTTAAATTTTATGATATTAAATTATTAACATACTTGTGCATTGATAACCTTGTGGTCCAATTCCCCAAATAATTAATTGACAATGATTGCAATAAGTTACAGTGAAATACTGATGGGCAACAAAATGATGTCCTTTGTTAGTAAACTGTAAATATAATTAATTTTACAATCATCATTCGAAAAGTGGATAAAATGTTATTACTTTTCGACATTTTCCTATAAGTTTAGCTTTTAAAGATTTTTCTTTAGAAACAAATGTAGGGCAGCGATCTAAAAGAGAACTAAATTGAGCTCCTCGAAGCCCAAATATTTTACTCATAACTGTAGCTAGTGCAGCTGCCATAGTAAACCTTCGATCATCTACAATCTCTTTGTCCATATCCTCTCTAAAAAATAACATAATATTAAAATAATGACACAAAAGTAATATGAGAAATGCTTACATAAATGGTTCCATATTAGGAACAAGGATCATTTCAATTATTTTTAATTCTTTTACTTTATCATTAATACTGTCATCAAGTTGAGAATCAGGWGGGCCAAACAGAGTGCCTAAACCGGCTGTTCGTCTATGACGAAAATCACTCAACTGTTCATTTAACTCTTCTTTGGCTTTGGTTCGAGCTTTCCAAAACACCTGAAATAATGATTTTTTGAAAGAAATGAATATTTAATTAACTTAAGTTTGTATTAAACTTACTTTACGTAAAATTTCTTCACGATCTGAATCCTTTTGTAAAATGTCATCTATTTCACGAACAAGATTCTCTTCAATATTATTCAGTCTCAATGGCTATAAATAAATAATAATTTAATTACTTATTTTCAGTACAAATAGAAGTAAAAATATTATAAAACATACGGCGCAAGGCACTAGAAAACTGGAATGGATTTCATATGCCCATTTTTTCATTTCTTTGGCATTGCCTTCTTTAAATAAATTTGTAACTAAATAGAATAACTGAAATCATAAAATTTTAAAAATAAAATTGTTTTCTGGAAGTGACTAAGATTTTAAGTATACATACTAAAGCTGAGGGATCACTATTTGATATAACATAGTTTAAAAATACTGCTAGATGTGCATTATGTTCTACTAATTTAGTAAAACTTTTAAATGGTCCATGCTCTTCTAAATGGCTCTGGAAAAAGAATAGATCAATTACTTAAATGTATTAATACTAATATAGAAATAATTTTTTTTTTTATAGTTTTCAAAAAAATTACAGATTCTTGATCAGAAATTTCGTCATCTTCCATTGAAATGATTGGAGTTTGAGTTAATTTTGGATCTGAAGAATCAACTGAACAACGATCACTATATTTATTCTAAAAAAATTTTACATATTCATATACAATAACCTATTGTACAAATATTATTTTTTTAACTAATAATATTACCATATCTATGTGTGGTTTATCACATGGGTTGGCCACATCAGGAGATCTATTAGGAGAATTATGACGAGGTGGTGATACTACATCCCAAGCTAATCCACCCTTGGAATGTTTTACAAAATGTAAATCATTGAAGGATTCGGATAAACTCAACTTTTTACTACCTGTAATTATTAACATTAATTATGACATCAAGTCTGTGAACAAAAATACATCTAAGAAGAAAATGCAATGGAAAAATTAAATAATTTCAAATATAATATTTTTAGTATTGGATAATTCAACATCATATCAATGCAATTTATAGGAAATGGACATGACACAGTGCTAGATATTAAATACTGGTATTGATGCAAAAGAAAGTTTTTTTAAATATACCAACTAGTGTTAATTTAATGTTTAAATTTGCTTTCTATATTAACTATGAATAAATAAATTCAATAATTTAATATTATTGATGCTATATAGAGTTTGCAACTGTTCACAATTTTTATTTKCATTTAATATCTATTTAGATAGTTCAAGTACTAACCTAATGGTTTACCTTCACTAAGTTGATCAGGATTTGACTTTGTACGTTGATGACACAATGAAAGGTTAGGAGAATCCTAAAAGAAATATTAATTGTTAAATGCAATGGAAATATACATACACAAATAAAATAATAATTATATTATAATCATACAAGAATCATTATGATAAATAAAAATTGATCGATTAAGAGTTCAAGAAATTAAAACCCATATACCTAAGAAGAAATTCACTAATATTAAAAATCTACATACATTAATAATATAAGTGATTAATCTTACAAAAATCACATTTCAAATAGAGCAWAACACTACAAACATCACATTTTTATAAAATCATCATGCAATAATACAATTTTAAAACAAACTTATTTATATTTAAGTACCTACCTCCAATGGTTTCACAAGCATAACTTGTGTTAGAGAAAAAACAAAACATAGTTAATAATTTCTTACCTAACATGGTATGGAATTGGGTATAACTTTTAGGTGTAAATGATTAGAATATTATAGAGAAAAAAATATTAATATAGCGGTTATTTTATTTAATTCAACCATACAACCATTTTAGTGTATTAACTTGATAATAGTGCTCTTTAATCTGTTTTAATAATAATATTTTATTTTTAGTATTGCATTATATAATGTTGTATATTTTTTATCTACATATTAAATATATTCTGCCATACACAAGAATGTGTTTTTATTATTTCCTACTTTGATTTKTGCCAATTAATATTGAATAGTTTATGCAGATAGAACTACTTTTAAACTGGGGTATTATTACGGAAATCAGTGAATGATATAAGTCACCAGAAATTGCAATTTTAAGTTAGACAGTGTATATTTTTACTATATTTTAAATATAATTGTTGACTTTAAATAACCACACTTTTGAAGTCTTTATTTAGTACGTCTGTTAAGGATTGTATGATTCAAAGTAAATAAAATAAATTTAGAAACACGTAAATTAAACAATATAATATGGGAATATTTTATGCATAATAGGCTATTAATTGTCTTAAACAATTATCGCGTACTTACAGTTTGACTATTGTTAACACCAGTGATATGTGAATTATTCGACTGCTTATCACTAATCAAAGGGGCCGTTGGATTTCTAGGAGGTAGTGGTGGTGGGTTTCTTGGTGGTAGTGGAGGAGGTTGAAGTGAAGATGCTTGTGCAACAATATTACAAAGCTGTCAACATAATAAATATGCATACGATCGTGTTAAACAAAAAAAAAAGTACAAAACACTTAGAATTGGAAATAGGGTATTAAAGGTGTAAAAAYATAATAATAGTTTGGGATGTAAAGGAGAAGGATTAATATCAAAATAAAAAGGTTTCTTAAGCAAGTGCTAATATCAATGTAAACTAAATTATATAGAATGCAGATATGTACATTTAGTTATACTTCTAGAGCCACCAACTCAACAGACATCATATTGTGCTTAAGAAATAGTGTTAAACATAAACATCTTATATTTTTTTTAATTAAATTAAGTAAAAATGGCTAAAATATTCAAAAAAATTTTATGTTTTATTGCTAACTCGGTTAGGTAATTGTAGATCAATTTTAACGTTAATAGTTGGATATTCTTTTTTATTGCATTTATTCAATTAACTGTAATAGTTGTGTATAATTAAATAAAAATACAAACAAGAGGTGGGTGAAAATCAACAAATATGATCTTAAATCAAATTTATGCTGAACCAATTTTTTTTTTTTTGAAGTGAGCATTACGATTTCATTACGATTGAAGTTTGGATTAACAAGGGAATTTCAAACTGATTGTCCGAGTCTGGTTTTTTAAAACTAGGTTAGACTTTCAAACTAGAACTAAAAACCTAAATGAAGTTTGATGTTTTAAAACTCTAGAAGTTTGACCCACCTCTAGTATGAAGAGCAATAAAATATCACCTTTAAATTTATGTTTATCCACACATTTCAATGGCACTGGAAGTGTTAAATCAAAACTGACAAACATTTTTTATAAACAGTTAGATAAACTTATGTTTGTAAAAAATGTTAGTACTTACAATAATTTAAACACATTATATGATCATAAAAACACAAACCAAAGACTAAAATTACTATACACTTCAAACTACAATATGTATCATAATCGCAAATTCTAGACAACATAAAAATATTCACATTTAGGTATAATTATTATAAAATTCAACATTCAAGTTCTTAATTATCGAAAATCTGCAAATATACTAAATACTAAATTAATAGTCAACACCAATAATTTAATATTTTAATTTTCTATAAAAATAGATCATGCGACTTTGTATTTAAGTATAATAACAGTCCCATTATATTACACATAATTATAAGAAAACAATTATTGTACACTACCGGTATTTCATTGAACGTAGTTAACTGGTCTTGCAATGTTTTAACTCGACGTTCAGCGCCATTCAATTCTCTTTTCAATTTATAGTTATCACCACTGGATACATCTGATGACGATCTATGAAGTTCTTTTTTTAATACCTCCACATACCTCTGTTCTTTTTCTAACATTAATCTAAATGTTTGCCATCGTTCTAGTTCAACATGYCTCATTTGTTCCACCTTGWAACATTTAAAAAACAATCTAAATAACTAATTTTTAGAATTTCATTGTTAAAAAAGTTTTTCTATAATTGAAATATTATCACTTATAATATTAGGATTAAATTATTATTTTATAAAAAAATTAGTTTTCTGAATGTATATTAACTATTATTGGTTTATCATAACTAAAATAAACTTATAAATTTTAATTTTAAACAAATTTATGTAATATTAAGAAATTTATAATATCACTTTTATCATTAAATATTATATAATATCAATGAAATTTGAATGTAAAATATTTWAAAACAGTATACTATTTYAGATTTCTAAAAATAAAATTTGGTATAAAGAATCTTAGTGTCTTGAAATTTTACCAAATTAAATGCATTAAAATTGTTATTCATTTAAATTAAAATATGTATAATTAAATAATCAAACATCATAATGTATAGAGATTGATGTTAGAAGAATTTTTCAGCAATGTGTATTATTTTCACATTAATAAATCGATATTGTTTTTTAAGACTTAGAACTAGTTATTAAAATAATTATTTTCATTAAAATTGTACCAGATGAAAACTTTAAACATTTATCATTCAAACACAACTAATAAACAAAATAATATATTTATGCTTCAAATAAATAATTTGGCTTAAAATACATACATCAACAGGTTGAGGTCCTGTAATTCGATCACGAGCAGGAGCTGAATGATGGTGATGCAAAGGTCTGGATGGTGTTACAGAAGAACACGGTGTTATTGGAGATACAGTAGAAGAATTCATTGTTGGTAAAGGCAAAGGGGGTAATGTTAAATTAGGATTTGATGAATTTACAAACAAAGGCCTTTGTTGAACTGTTAATTCGACTTGGGTAGAAGCTAAAAATATGGTTCATAAAATTGTTATACATTGACGTTACATGAATTTAAAAAGTATACATACATTTTATGAGTTCAACCACTTCTGTGTGTGTAGAGTGTGTTACATTAACACCATTCACTTTAATAATTTTATCACCACTATGTAAACCTGCTTTTTCTGCAGCTCCACTTTGTTTGACAGATTGCACAAATACCGGATTATCTCCAGACACTTTCATGCCATATCCTCTTTCATCTTTAACTACTAAAACAGTTAATGTAGTTGTAGATGGTAAATTTGACGGAGTATCTAGAGCCTCTGCAATCAAGGGTTGAGGAAGTAAATGTTCAGCTGGCCTGTAAGATATAGAATACACTGTTACACTTAATGAATTCAAATCTCAACATTTTTAATTACTGTAATATAGATTTAATATAGGTATGAAAGAAAGATGAAAAAAAAAATGTTAAATAGGTAAATAGATGCATGATGCATAACTATTTATTTATATTTAATATCCATTTTTACATTAACTTGAAATAATATGATTTTTTTTCTCCATAGAATTGATTTATTTGAACTTAATTAGTTTGTATATGCAAAATTATACAGTTTAATATAATATTCAAAGAAAACCAGGGTATATAGGGAATCTATGTATTTCTTAGAAAACATTTTAAGAAAATACTAATATAGGTTGGAGGTACATTATACATATAATCTATAACTTTAGATCCAATCAAATTAATAATACCTATAGTTTAATTAAAAGCTATTAAATATTCTAAACAAAAATGTTTTATCAAAAGTTACCAAATTATTTACGATGAAAACATATACAACAGAGCACGCAACAACATCAACACACAAAATAATTAATTTAGCATGTATATGTAAAATCAAATTAATATTTCAAAATGATACTAACTTGGCAATAAGTATGTAATTTTATCTAACAAAACACAATGATTATTGTTAAAAGTTCTATAGATATTGAGAAAATAATACTCAATAGTAGTAATTTTGTAGAAGATAAATTGTTATCAGTATTTACTTATTAAATACATTTTATATAAACATTTACTTATACATATTTAGATACTTAATTAATTTAGCATGATAATTAGAACTGAAGGTCAGTTAAAACATACAAATGTACAATAGGTAACTAGGTATACTATTTTTATTGCCATTTTATTATTCCTGTATTAATTGTAAATTAATTTTATTTCACAGTAGATTTTAATTTTCTCCAACTTTGACACACTATATTAAAAATATTTATTTTTTCTAATTTCCAAATGAATACCATTAAATCTATAAAACTCAAATTTTCTTTTGAATTTTTTGAATTTCAAATGTTTAAGATTCTATTAGATCAAGGATTCTTAGGATTCCCAACCTTTTTTACTTGACGGCACACTTGATCAATTTAAAAATGTTTATGGCACACTTAAATAAATAAACAATAATGAATAATAAATGTCATAATAATATACTGTTTTTATTAAATGATACAAATTTATATTTGCATATGTAGCACACACAATAAGACAAATATACTAGACCGCACACCCAAATAATTTCAAGGCATACTTTTGCACCGCAGCACGGCAGTTGGGAATCCCTGTATTAGATATACATTTAAAAAAATATGAAAACACTTCATTAACATTAAAATTATTGATATTTAATGCTTTAATACTTAAAAATACCACATRATACCTAGATCTACAAATTTATTGAAATTAAGTAAATACATTTATAGGAAAAATATTACACATGCACATGCACCTTTTCAAACTTCAAAGGCTACTAAGGTAGGAACACAAATAGGGTAATAAAAAAAAAATTTAAAACATTACCATTCATGACTTATTTTAGCCAGAGTCCATCTAAATGCATTGATATAACCTACATAACATTTTTTAAATTAATAATTGTTATTAAGTAAGTGTTGATTAAGTTTATCAAACGTAAGTCATCAAATGAACATTTTACCAAAAGTTTTTTCAATTCTCAATATAAGAGATAATTTATATTAGTATGATTTAATTGTATACCATTTTTAACTAACATAACTATTTACAATTATAATATTAATCATATTTAATTTCATGAACTATCAAATATAATATTATATTATAACTCATGATATTTGTATTATCTGCTTTAATTCACAGACATTGAAATAAAAAACATGATTTAATACCTGTATCTAATTATAATTGTTATTAATAAATTTCAAAAAATTGGCTATACTCAAAAGAGAAGACACAAGGTGGCAACTGGTTTTTGTCTGACAATTTATAAAATTCCCTACTTAATATTTGCTTAGTGTATAAACACTATAAACATTAGCGCCTTCAGTGCACCTTTGCCGTGTCAAAAACCATTGCAAGTATCAATGCAAGTGGAATATTGGGATTCATATTGTATCGACTGTCATTTCAATGTGCACAGAAAATGTGTATTCTCTTATTAAACAGAATATATATATATATATATATTATATATATCAATTTTAAAAATCAAATAGGAATGATTAAAGTTTTTTTTTTGTCATAAGAAAATGAAAAGTAATAATCTTGTGAATAATTTTACAGAAAAAAAAAAAAATTATAATACTATAGCTAGGTAGATACTAATTATATTAATTATAATATATAGTTAAGGGCCTAGGAAATAAAAAGAATTCACATTTGATAAAATTAATAGAAATAGATTACAGATTTTTAAAATTTTGTAGTTTTGTCTTTGAGTACCTATATGCTAGTTTGGATGAGAATGAAAAATTGAGATAACACTAATAACTCACAGAAAAGTTTATTTTGCATATTTGAGAAATTAAGAGATATTTCTTAAATTGTGGGAAATAAATATTGTTATTATTTCTATTATTGTTTTAGGTGCCATATTTAAGGTTTTAGTACCATTAATCATTTGATAATAACCATGTGTATTATGACCTGAAGAGTCTCTATATGCAGCCAGGTTAAATTCTCTTAATATAAACTAAATTACCAAATTTGAGACTAATTCTATCACTTGTTTCAACCAATTATTTAAAATCCGTTTACATAAAAATAATATAAATAGGGATTAACCTCTGGTCTACTTAATGTTAGGTAAAACCTTGACTGTACTAGAATCCTGAGCACGCTACTGATGGTAAGTGAACTAACTGGAACTACCTCTTTCCCTTAGGGAAATTAAATATTTGCTCACATACATCAACCTCCCCCTTCCTGACAATATCCTAAATACGCCACCGATCAAAGCATTATTTTTATGTTTACATGTTCGTAATTTTAATATTGCATATTATTAACCCTTTGAAGAATAATTTTGTTTAAAAATATTTTAAAAAAAATTAGAATAGGCAACAGTGACATATACATTATTCTACCAGAAATGTTTTTTTGTTTTGTTTTACTATATTACATACATGAGTATATACACTTAATTAGGACATATTCATCTGTCATATCTAAAAATTAGACTTTAATATACCTTGCTCCTAACTGTAAATATTTTTATTTTTTTATTTTTCAATCTTAATTTGCTCTCTGAGTAGCTATATATTTTCAATTTCCTTCTCAATAGTTTAAAGAACATTTTGATGTTTATTGATTAATTTTATAAGGAAAATATAAGTACTTAGATTTTTTTAGGGCATTTTAGCATTATATTTGTACTTTTTTTAAGTATATAAATTTGAACCCTAATTACAAATGGTTAGTTTACTAATTATTAATTACAGTTTTTGTTGTGGCATGTTCTGTGGTGGAAAAGGTAGATAGTTTTTTAGGAATTATGTTAAAAATAATTTCGTTGAAAACTGGTTTTTGGAAAACAATTACTATTTTTTCTTA